TTTTTCTTGCGTTATGCGGGCCTCTCACTGTCGTGGCCTCTCCCATTTGCGGAGCACAGGCTCCGGACGCGCAGGCCCAGCGGCCATGGCTCACGGGCCCAGCCGCTCCGCGGCATGTGGGATCCTCCCGAAACGGGGCACGAACCCGCGTCTCCTGCATCGGCAGGCGGACTCTCAAGCACTGCGCCACCAGGGAAGCCCATTACTAACATTCTTGCTTATTGTCCTTAAACTCTGTTTTCTCTTCCACAGATTGGAGCTTATTTTAGCAGCATATTAGCTGAGAAACTAAAGCTTAACACTTTCCAGGACACCGGAAAGAAGAAACCACAAGTTAATGCTAAAGATAATTACTGGCTGGTTACTGCTCGATCCCAGAGTGCGATTCATAGTTGGTTCTCTGACTTAGCAGGAAATAAACCACTTGCTATTTTGGCAAAAAAGGTATTAAGTATTTCTTGCATTGTTTTAACTGAGGCCTTATAGAAATGAAAATATTTGAGATAATGTTCAAGTATATATTTCTTTTCCCCAGTTCTCTCCAAAACTCAAAGTCTCAATGGCAGGTATCCTGCACTAGGTGTGTGCTGCACATAGGCTGTTTCCCCTTCATTTTGATGGCATGAGGTGCCTAGGACATCTAGAGACCTAAACATTCTACACAGGAAGCTGTTTATGTGGATATTAGGTAGACAGGGTTTTAAAATCCAAAACAGGCAGTGAGACTTCATTTATTTCTCTTACATTTTCAGTTTTTTAGGTCAGGATGTCCACATGGGTTAAATAGAAATCCTTGCTTTAATGTTATTTCCTTGTCTTGAAAAGAACCCACATCCAAATTCTTAAACTAACTCTTCTTCCGAACAAGTGAGATAAAAGATAGTGACTCTGTGTGTGTGCTTGAAAACCGTCTTTGAAAAAGTTTCAGTACAAAATGGGCAGGTTTATTCATAGCCCCCCGCTTTTTTGAGGAGGGGGAGGGAAGGGAGGGTTCTTTTAAAAATCTTTGCCTTTGATCATTTTCCTCACATGGGAAATACTGCACCGATTCAACAGTCTTATAGTCCCAATAATACAAAATGTCTTTTGAAATTTAGATGAGAGCCAGAAACCTCCCTCTTAGTCTTGATCTCTGACTTCTTACACACCTTTCAAATAATCCCCAGGTCTTTCTCATCTCCCCCTGAAACCCTTTAGTTTTAGGGGAGCCCATCTTGTATTCTTAAGTTTTCACGAACGGCTTGGTGCAGGCCCAGGTTAGAGGAGAGCTCCTTCGTGTATTGACCTTTTTGTTTTCTAAAGCACCTCTTTGAAAATAGTGCCTGTAGCTCCCGTGGGCTTTATTTTGCCCTGGTGTCAGAGCCTTGCGTTGCCTTTCGTAGATGTTAGTGCTTAAAGGCAACCGAAATCCTTGCAAAGCAGAACAATCAGCGTAACCCTCTCTTGCTACTCAGCTAGTGCCTCTGTCTCAACACAGGCTGGACCGCGTGGCATTTCTTTTCCATTGTTGACCGTTTACCACGTGTTCCCACTGTGGCCTGGGAATTGTATCTGAAGGCTGCAGCGGTCGAAGGCCATCCTTCAATATTTGATGGCTTTCTACGAAAAGTTCATACCCTCCATGTTGGTTAGTACCTTCAACTCCTGTGTAGCCAGCCTGACATCTTTCCTTTTAGGTTTGCCTTTTTTTGTAAGCTTTTAGAATGCAGTTGTTTTGTTTTTTTTTTTTTTTTTTTTTTACCAACTGCTTTCTCTAACCGCAGTCATATTTTCTTATCTCCCCTCCAACTCCTCTGGCTCTCACCCCAAACTTCCTGGTCAGATCAATTCCATTTGACTTCTGTTATCACCATGGTTCTTTCACCATGAGTTTTTTTTTTTTTTTTTTTTTTTTTTTTTTGGTGGTGGGGGGTGATATTTCCTGAAAGGGACTGTTCATGAGGAATTGATGCCCTTGCTTTAGGGGTGTAATGGTCTCTCATCTTTTAAGAGGGAGATGAATTATGGTGCAGTGTATTAGCCGTTGTTCTTCTCTCTTTATTAGGAGCTGCCTCTGGCCAAGTCAGGTGTCCCTCAGGTAAGCCCTGACGTTAATTCTTTGCAAAGTTAAAGACGTTTTCTTTGTCAAACCATTGAATATACTTTGAAGTATTCATTTCTTGGGCATTTCAAGAGTCATTCCTTCCCATCCCTTCCTCAGCATTTCATCTTCTTGAGGTGGCGAAAACTCTTTAGAGTTGGGTAAAAGATTGCGTCCTCTGCGTGTCCTTCGTATCAGAAAGTTTAAATACCTCTTAATTTCTGGTATTTATCTGCGAGATGGCTTGATGTAGAAGACCTTCCTTTTCCTGCTGAGATCCTGAGTCATCTTCCAGCTCTGATCTAGAGTTCAAAATAGTTTCCTGTATGGGATGGATCAGGTTTCTGGACCTGGTTTTCTGTTACTATAAAGCGCCACAGCAGTCCAAGTATTTAGCCACAGAGGGGTCAGCAGTGGCCTATAAAAGGCCTTTTAATCCAATCACGGTCATAGTTAGATTTGGAAAAGGAGACTTCTTGCTCCTGGGGATATCCTTTTAGCTCTTGAACAGTTCACTAAGAATGATGTGTTCACTTCTGGTGACTTTGATTACTGTGGTCTCTGGAATTTCCATTTGCCTCTACCACTGCTTAGCAAACAGAGGGTGCTGACAGAAAGGAGAATACAGGGAGAGAAGCGTTACAAGGGCAGCCCTCTGGTGGATGGAAAACCATGCTAGGTGTCTTAGTTTTCTTCTGGTACTTAGATGCAGTTCCACCTTGATTTAGAAACCAAACAGCTGCCCAGTGATTGCCTAGGTTCAGCTACAAGTTGAAGTCAGATGGTTTCTTGGCTGAAAATGGAATCCATCCCTGTAGGAAGTCATACTTCAGTCAGTGTAAACATATTTTCCTTCCTGAGTTGGCCCAAACTGTAAATGTGACAAAACCATCAAAATGTGTCTTTTTCCTTAATTAAATAACTTTCTTCACATATGTTCTTCTGAATTCTAAAGCCCTTGATTTGAGCCAACCCTTTTTCTTAGGGTTCTGCCAGCAGGGACAGTGAGCTAGAGGTTTGCCTTATGCTGTTCATGTAAGACTCAGCTTTGTTTGCTGTTTCATGTAAACATTTCACATGCTCAAAATGCTCCCCCCATCCCCGGCCGTGCCTTCTTGTCAAATGCGGTTCAAAAAGAAATCCTTTAGGCTTCTATAAAGATGCTATTAGTAATGTTTCTTTGGAGATGCTAACTTCACTTTTTGCATTTGCCTGGTTTTTAGGCCTTCATCTTATATATAGTCTTCTGGTACGTCTGACTGAGAGGGAACCTGACCGTGGCAGCTAAAATTTAACTCCCTGATACCATACTGTATGTTCTAGTGAAAAACAGCAGCTCCGGCCTTGAACTGACTATATAAGACTGTGCTTTTCTTGTCCCTGGCCTAAACGACAGTAAACCCAGAGCCTTGTGCTCCATGAAAGATGTGCCTTGTAAGCTAAAGTTTCAGGAAATTTTCTAGGTAAAATGTATCACCGTGATCCACAGAGAGGAAGTTTTATAGCTTTAGCCTGTGTCACTTTCACCTCCCTTTTATATAGTTATGTGGTATGCTGTGTAGTTGCCTTTGTCATGGAGGAGGTTATGTTCTAAAGTCAGCAACCAAGGGAGGAACTGTACATGATCAAAAGTCTATTACATTGCCCGTAAAATACAGTATATGGACACACTGCATCTCAGTGTTCAACTAGGCAGCTTTTCTCTATCGCTGGAGCCGCTTGATGTTTCTTTGGGAAGAACCAGGTGAAATAGCTTGTTTTAAAGAGCTGTGCAACAAAAAACACTTAACTTTTAAATTCTGGGATCACACTTTGCTCCAAGACGGTGACTAGTCAGATTTGTAACATATGTATAATGCAGAAAAATCCACTGGCTAAACCACTGGCTAACTAAGAGAAAAATGCCATGCTATATGAATCAGTTAGCTGGTTTGAAGCTTTGATTTTCAACACGAGATCGAGCAAGACTTCGGGGCATAGAGACCAGGGCTAGTGATGTCCATGGTTGTGGGTTTCCAGAATCCTCTTAGGAGAGAGTCAGGTCCATGGCTTGAGAACACATTGGGGGACGCGGAGAAATCCTTGGAACTGGAACTGGCAACAAAATGAAAGTTGTTGTAATTTTGATACATGTAATTCTTTTGCTTTCTCCTTCTCGCGCCACCGTGAGGTGGACAGGGTCGGTATTATCTCGGTCATAAATGAAGAGCCTGGGAGTCATGGGTTTAACCACCACAGGCTGGGGCCACGACTGCAGCACAGGGGTGCTCGTTGCTGGGGGCGGGGGTGGGCACGGCCTGCTTCTCCATCTCACTTTTCCCATCCTGCTGCATTGCGGCCAACATCCTCTCTGTCCGCTGCGTTACCCTGTATTCGTAAATTGGATAGCTTATGTATAGATTAATGGGCTATTCCTAGGATATTTATGAGGAATTCTACAAGACTGGATTAACTCTTTCGAGACATTCAGCAGAACATTGGGATACTAATTTGCTAAATAGTACCTTTGTGGCCTGGAAGAAATAATTAACTGCCTCAAGTGCCTACTTTCAACCAGTGAATTAATTACCCAGCTGTTTCTAGCTCAGTGTTTATTAGGCAGATTCACTGATCCATCATTTTAGCCTCTATTTAAAATTTTGGTCTAAAGGCACTTTTAGAAGCTTTCTGGAAATTGTTATTCTTATGAAATGTTACAGTCAGAAAGCTTTATACAAAAATGTTCTTTGATAAAATGTGGAGTGGGGATAGCTTTTACTTTATCTGTCCCTTCCAATTTTGAGATATAAACTCCTTGGAGGACTGTCATGAGATTATTTTCCCGATTTTGTTGATACAACGTGTAGCTTTCAGCATCTGAGAGTTTGAAAATAATTTGTTTTTATAAATAAGAAAGCACAACTGATAAAACTGTGTTGCCAATGTGCTAAACATAGTTTTGATTCTTTTTTCTTAAAATTCGCTTAAAATTTTTTTTTTAAAATGGCATGTGCCATTTAAAAAAAGGATATAGTTTTTCATAGCCAGCAGGAACTTAGAGTCTCTTTCTCTTGCTTCCCCTTTCTTTAGGTTGGTCTAGCGATGAACGTAATATGTGATTGTTACAAATATATTATTTCTTTTTAGGTTCCCATCCTTAGTAAAAAAGAAGATGTTTTTGCATATTTAGCTAAGTATTCAGTGCCAATGGTTCGAGCAACGTGGCTGATCAAGATGACTTGTGCCTATTATTCTGCTATTTCTGAAGCGAAAATTAAGAAACGTCAGGCTACTGATCCCAATTTGGGTAAGTGAGACAGTATGACACATTTTACATTACGCTGTAAATACTTGTTGCCTGCACCTTCCATACCCATCCCAGAGAGGTGAGTTCCGCGAAGGTCCATTAGTGAAGGTAAAAGTCACTTGAGGTGTGGATGGAGTGCCGGTTCTCTTCACCCAGGCACAGATTCCTCGTTCCTGAGTCAGCAAGTCGTGTTGCTCTTACCTCCAAAATGTGTCCTGTGTCTGAGCACATCACCACCACAGTTCCTGAAATGCTGCTTCAAGCTACCCCCTCTCTTGGCTGGAGACAGTGGCAGCCTCCTAACTGGTCTCCCTGCCTATATTTTTGTTCCTTAACGTTCTGGTCTCTCCACAACCGCCACACTGATTGTTCAGCCTAAATCAGATCATATCGTGTCCTTGTTTATAACTTTACAGTAGTTTCTCATTACAATTAGAATAAAGGTCCACATTCTTTTTTTTTGGGGGGGGGGCGAGGTTTAAATTTTTTATTTTTATTTATTTTGTTAACATCTTTATTGGAGTATAATTGCTTTATAATGATGTGTTAGTTTCTGCTGTATAACAGAGTGAATCAGTTATACATATGTTCCCATATCTCCTCCCTCTTGCGTCTCCCTCCCACCCTCCCTATCCCACCCTCCCTATCCCACCCCTCTGGGTGGTCACAAAGCACCGAGCTGATCTCCCTGTGCTATGTGGCTGCTTCCCACTAGCTATCTATTTTACATTTGGTAGGGTATATATGTCCATGACACTCTCAGTTCGTCCCAGCTTACCCTTACCCCTCCCCGTGTCCTCAAGTCCATTCTCTATGTCTGCGTCTTTATTCCTGTCCTGCCCCTAGGTTCTTCAGAACCACTTTTTTTTAGATTCTGTATATATGCGTTAACATACGGTATTTGTTTTTCTCTTTCTGACTTACTTCACTCTGTATGACAGACTCTAGGTCCATCCACCTCACTGCAAATAACTCAGTTTCGTTAAAGATCCAGATGCTTGCCTGCAGCTCCATCCATGGTCTGCCTCCTCTTTCTGCGATGTTCCGGCCACACACAACCCTCCAACACGGTGTACTCCTTCCTTTCCTGGGCCCCCCTCTGCCTTTCCTCTTCACCCTGTACTTGAGCTGCTCTTCTCTAGACTATTTGCAGCCTCCTTCTCTTCACTGAGACTTTGGCTCAAGTGTCATTTCCCCAGTGGGTTTTCCCTGCCCACCCAGCTAAATAGCATTCTCTCTCTTTCTCACCTTCCTCCCAGTTATGTTCTCATGTGTTGTTATTTTATTCACAGCACGTTTCTCTGTCTGAAATCATCTTTTAAGACTTTGTGTGTGTCATCCTCTCTCTCGGTCTCTCACACACGCACACGCACATGCACACGCACAGACACACGCACTGGTAGGTATTTGTTGAATGAACTGAAGGGAAACTACTTTCAGTCAGAGTTTCTGCTCTTTTGGTGACTAGACAGTGACTCCTTGAGGCGGTGCTGAAACATGCTTGATAAAAGGTTGGATGCTACATTAGAACTGTGCACAGAGAATTATATATAAAGAGTCCATTTAAAGATAAGGTTTACAAATAATTCTTTATGACATGGAAACGTGCTTATGGTTTTATAAGGCAGACCCCCAACTGCAAAGCTCTGAGGGGCAGGATGGAAAGCACAAATGTCCTCCACTGCCAGGAGGCACCCTAGGGGAGTGAGTCAGGGCGTGGCGCATTTGGGGATGGTAAAGGGGCCTCGACGAACCGGAGAGTGGGGACATTCTAAAAGCATGAACACAGAAATTCAAAACAAAAAATGGCCTGATTCCATGGCTGCCACCTTTGAGTTCAGTATTATCTCATGTGTGTCAAAATAACAAGCAAAAATGAACTGTACTTAAAAAACAAAACTGTGCAGTGTATATATGTAAATGTCAAGAAAAAAAAAAGGGAGGAAATAATCCACAAAGTTAACAATGGTTGTCTCTGAGTCTGTTTTCATAGTAGTCTTGTGTTAACTATGTGTCTGATTTTTTCATCAGCTTATTATTTTATTGGGGGAAACAGAAGAAATGTCCCTTTTTTATTACCAAAGTAGTTACGTTCTCATTACAGTATTTTCCAACGGTGCTGAAGTAGATACAATACAGTGTATACATTTCTTTTCTCCCTTGTCCATGTTTTCCTTCTTGAACTTTCCTTCATTCATATACAGACACATATGTGCAATTCTTCTTTATCTCGTTCTCTCTCTCTGTCTATATCTATCCGTGTATCTATTGCATTTAATAATCATTCTCCCCGTAACCTGGACATCTAGTTGCTTCTTAGCCACCTCTACTTTGATGACGAATAGGCATCCGAAACCTAATGTGTATCAAATCAAAGTTGATTTCTCACCATCCCTAAACTTGTTCCTTCCTCGGACTTCTCCTTAGTCAATGTTATACGTAGCCATCGGGCGAATAAGGATAAAAGACATATTGTCATTCTGGGCTTTTCGCTTTCTCTCGAAACTCTGAATTTACTCCCTCAGCAATCCTGTTAACTTTACTTTCAAAATCTAATCAGAATCCAACAAGGTATTCCTGCTCCCGCTGCTGCCACCCTGGCCCAAAGCACCAGCAACCCCACCTTCGCCTGTGCTTTTTATTGCAGGGCCTCCGGCGGATCTTGTTTCTCTTCTTGCCCCTCTAATGACAACTTTCTAGTTTGTGGTCAGAGTGATCCTGCTAGGACATACATCATGGTTCAGGCCTATGCTCAGCATCCTCTCACGGCCGCCTGTCTCTCTCAGACATGTGCCTCAGCCAGCACCAGCAGCCCGTATGCACATTGTGACCTCAGGCATTGACCCGTGGCTGCCACTCTCCCTCTCATCCCCGGATATCCCCCTGGCCTGCCCTCTCCCCCACTGCTGGCTTAGCTCACAGGGCACTTCCTAAGAAAAGCCTTCTCTTCACGTCCTGCTTCATTTTTCTTCATAGCTCTTAATGCCATCTCGTTATATTTTAATTTATTGATCACCTATTTCTACTGACTCTGAGCTGTACTGATTCTTCATGAGATATTTTGTCAGATTTGTTCCGTGCTGGATCTCCTAGTACAGTACCTGGCGTACAAAAGATGCTCAGTAGTTTTAACGATAAATACATGAACAATTAGGCTTGAAGCGTTTGTGTGTATGTTTGTGCATATGTGTGCATGCTTTTTTTTTTTTCTTTTCATTTTCTAATTTGCTCCAACTTGTAATCCTTGAAAACTTCAGCATTGCTAGCTATAATGGAGAGACTACTCTCCATTCCTTAGATGCTCTTCATATCTTTTGGTAACTTGTGCCTGTTTTCCTTGATATTCCATTTAATCTGATTTTAACTGTCATACATAAAGGTGATCATACAGGAATGATTCTGCCAAATGAAATGTAAACAATTTTAGGACAAGTGAAAGTCTGATGGACCCTCATCATTTGTGAAGAACACGTAGTTAAGAGTTTTTAGGCCTCCCAGATATGAATGCATCACTAGGACTGTATGATTTCCTCTACCAAATGGAGGGAAGCCTAGCTCCAGTGTCTAGCTCAGAACATCATGGACTTCTTGTTGGATTCGTTACTTTTGCTGTTAATTTCCTTACCAGTGTGATCAGTTGGTTTGCGGAGGGGATTATTTTCTAACCACCCCCACAAGCTCAAATTTCTATTATCTGCACACCCACAACAGATAGTTGATTAGATTCACCCACTAGCTGTGTTTTCTCTTGTTTCATAAGCCACATAACACACGATTCCATTTTTCAGCTCAGTTTATTTACAGAGTATTACATGGTCTTTATGATTATTCTTTTTTTTTTATACATCTTTACTGGAGTATAATTGCTTTAAAATGGTGTGTTAGTTTCCGCCTTATAATAAAGTGAATCAGTTATACATATACATATGTTCCCATATCTCTTCCCTCTTGCGTCTGCCTCCCTCCCACCCTCCCTATCCCACCCCTCTAGGTGGTCACAGAGCACCAAGCTGATCTCCCTGTGCTATGCGGCTGCTTCCCACTAGCTATCTGTTTTACATTTGGTAGTGTATATATGTCCATGCCTCTCTCTCGCTTTGTCACAGCTTACCCTTCCCCCTCCCCATATCCTCAAGTCCATTCTCTAGTAGGTCTGTGTCTTTATTCCTGTCTTACACCTAGGTTCTTCATGACATTTTTTTTTCCTTAGATTCCATATATGTGTGTTAGCATACGGTATTTGTCTTTCTCTTTCTGACTTACTTCACTCTGTATGACAGACTCTAGGTCCATCCACCTCACTACAAATAACTCAATTTCGTTTCTTTTTATGGCTGAGTAATATTCCATTGTATATATGTGCCACATCTTCTTTATCCATTCATCCGATGATGGACACTTAGGTTGTTTCCATCTCCGGGCTATTGTAAATAGAGCTGCAGTGAACATTTTGGTATATGACTCTTTTTGAATTACGGTTATCTCAGGGTATATACCTAGTAGTGGGATTGCTGGGTCATATGGTAGTTCTATTTGTAGTTTTTTAAGGAACCTCCATACTGTTCTCCATAGTGGCTGAACCAATTCACATTCCCACCAGCAGTGCAAGAGTGTTCCCTTTTCTCCACACCCTCTCCAGCATTTATTGTTTCTAGATTTTTTGATGATGGCCATTCTGACTGGTGTGAGATGATATCTCATTGTAGTTTTGATTTGCATTTCTCTAATGATTAATGATGTTGAGCATTCTTTCATGTGTTTGTTGGCAGTCTGTATATCTTCTTTGGAGAAATGTCTATTTAGGTCTTCTGCCCATTTTTGGATTGGGTTGTTTATTTTTATTGAGCTGCATGAGCTGCTTGTAAATTTTGGAGATTAATCCTTTGTCAGTTGCTTCATTTGCAAATATTTTCTCCCATTCTGAGGGTTGTCTTTTGGTCTTGTTTATGGTTTCCTTTGCTGTGCAAAAGCTTTGAAGTTTCATTAGGTCCCATTTGCTT